TCCTGGGAGTGCAGAATGATTCAGTGGTAACTTAGTCATTTGTGAGCTCTACAAGATGATTTTACTGGAGAGGAAAAAAATAAAAGCTGCACTTATCAGTGGAACACTTTCTGTTAAATAAAGATAATTAAAGCATCAATGATACATTCATTTCATGTTTAATTAGCCCCTCTCTCATCATAATTTGCTACTGAAGGTGAAATGTGGGTCACTTTTAAAAACTAATTGTAAAATATTTAACATAATGCAAAACGAGAACAGAAAATTGAAAATACTTCTGTATGTTTTTCACTAAACATTATGAATGTTAAATGTGTGAAAGAAGTCACCAATGCAAATGTTTATACTCAATAACAATGTTCTCTTTTTTTTTTTTTACATGGCAGTTAGTGCCACAATGACATTGTCATTTTTATGATTATTATACTGTAGTGTATTTGCTTAGCTTAAAGTAGTGAAAAAATTTATTCTTTAGAGGTGTCTGGGAATACAAAAATTAGCCTTTGAGATAAGCCTCTCTGTGTATGTGTGTGTGTTTACATAAACAAGAAGAAAGACGATGCCCTCCTGTATGGTTAAACTGAGAGCCTCCTTAATGGTTGAATTTGGGGTCCTATTAAGGCTGCTGGGTATATGTACATGTTAATGAGGAAATTGATCCATTTTTTTTATAGATACAATTGACATATATGGTAACCAACTAGTCAAAATGCTTCTGCAATATTGCAGCAGACTGATTAATGTTTCAAAATTTATGTAATAAATTAACTGGCTAGTGAACAAGAATTTTTTTTCAGAAATTAATTTCTATGTATTTCACTTTCAGGAATGTATGACTTTACAGGAAATGCATAGAACTTAATTAGAGTGTCAGTGCACTGGCTTGATAAACATTTTAATTCATTAAACAATGCATTTTCAATGAGAAAAGGCACTGAGATTTTTCATAAAGAATTACAGGGTTGTCTAAGAAGCCAATATCTGAAGTACAGAAATAATTCTGCTCAGAAATTCCTTTACTGTTTCTATAAGTTCCACTTAGAGTGACCAATATATCTTAAAAAAAAAAACAAGTAAAAAAACCCTCAGCATTATAACTGAAGTGTTTTAAAGAGACAATAATCATTTCTTAGTAAAGTAAGTAAAAAATATACCAAGACAAGATGAGAGCCAAGAAATATAAACATATAGAGTGTTTAAAAGGTTTGTTCTTCAAAGAATAGTAGGTAATGTGTGGATTCATGATGAAAATTTTCACTGAAATAAAAACTGCTTATATGATGCTATTTTCCACTGTGAGACAGAGGTGGAGAAGTATATATTTTAAAAATATATCTGTAATTAAATAATAAAATAAACAAGTATTTACAATTAAAATTCATTATGAGATTTATGATTAAGTATGTAACTCTCCAAGCTGTTAAGTGATTCCCCTTAGGCACTGAGCTTTCATTATCTTTGGCTGTCTTTGCTGGAAATCCCAATATCCATGCTCCTCATGGGTAATGTGCAGCACCTGGAAGTTTCAAATTTTAAATTCATGATCCAGAAAAACTCTTAAATTCGTCCCCATACAGTAAAACACTTCTGTACAGCTTTAACTTTTGATAAGTGATTAAGACCTGTGGAATGCTAAGTGTTTTAAACATTTGTAGTGCTTTACTGAAAGGGAGAGAAATGATAAGGGGCTAAAAGAATATTTCAGAGTAATACCATGCTAAGACACGGATAAGAGTTAAACTTGTTAAAGATCTCCTAAAAAATTGTGATTTTGAAATGTCAGAAGTCTGCTGAACACAGAATTTTGTTTTAAACTTATAAAAAAGGCATGATGTCAGAAGGATGAGAGTTAGAAATTGTAGTTTTCTTCAATTAAGTTCTCTTATACAGTCCTGTGTCAAACATGATGTATTTTGAAACTCATATAATAATTCAATTTAACACCTTAAAAATTAAGTATCAAATCATGGGAATGAAAATAACCTGTGTTCCCTGGGGTACACCAGTCAGTCATGTAAGTAGAGACTTTATTTCCTAACTGCTGTATTGTAGATATAGGAAAGTATCAGTTACCAATTCTAATTACACTAATGGGAAATTAGCATCACTCTCATCTCCAGTAACTTAGAGCAGGTAGGTTCTACTGTGTCCACTTACTTGTTCTAAAAATTTATACATTGTTTAATGGCTCCTTAGAACAAAGGGAACTGACAATAAGTAAATAAAGGTATTCTTAGAGATTTGAAGTAGGCTCTTTACCACAGTCATACTATTATGCTACTGGTTCTTTTCTATATGTACAGCAGAACTAGGAAACAATCTGATAGACATCCCATCAGAACCTTTTATCTGCATCTGCTTCACATTTCTCTCTAAACACTTGTGCTGAACAAGAGCTCCATGTGGTTTGGGTGTTAAAAATCCCCAGGTGTTTTGCCTGCTAAACTGAGAGATACTGCACTGGCAATGTCTGAGATGTGAAAAGTGTACATATTGTTTGTGCACATCTTAATGTCTTCAGTACTATGTAAAATGAACAAAAGTATACAAATGTCACTCAGCAACAAGCTGGCAAGTACACATAGGAAAGTGGTAACAGAGGGTTTGTGGCTGATAGACTCTCCCATAAAGTCTGTAATTTAACACTACCTTTACTGTTTTCTTGGACAATCTCCAATTTATATGCATGCTTTACAAGTGTGAAAATACTCTCTACATATTTAAAAATAAATAGATAAGACATTAGAATACTGGCTATAAACTACTTGAATAAGTGAACATTCATAACAGGCTAAATATTTAACACAAGAGAACTATCAACACTGAGAAACTGGTTTGCAGCAAACAACATAAGTAATGGAGCAATTCAAGGTGCACTTCTGTGTAAAAGTGCAATAAAGCATTTTCTTCTACTAAGTTTTCTCATATATTTTATATCTAAAGACATCCTTGGAATATATTAGGTAATTCAAAATATATTACTGTATTATAATCATAAACAAATGTGGGGTTTTTTTTATCAAGCAAAATAGAAATTTGTACTTGTATTCCTTTATCTTTCCTACTTTTAGAATGTAAATCATTCTTTCACACTGAATTAAACTACACTTTAACAGATTATAATCCATATGTTTAGATGAATTGCAGGACCAAGAAAGAAGTGATGTCTGATTAGCATATATTCCATTGCTACTTTTATTCCAGTGTTTGCTAAAATGGCATCATCTACTCTGTGCTTAATAAGCCTTAGGACATGAAAGATAAAGAACTTAGTAATTAGTATTTTATACAGACTATTCTCAAACTGAAATTGTGATGTACTCTCTAGGACAGCATTAATTAAATGCATCACACAGAAACTACTGTCTCAAATGTTCTATAAGTCCGTATCACTTGCAAAGCCACAAGATACAAAAGCACTGGTGGATAGTACAATCACACTAATTTGGTGACCTGAAAGACCGGAGGGGTGGCTTACACAATTAGTTCTATGCTACTATATTTTAAGCATTTCTGAGCAGAATGCAAATACTGGCAGCACTTGTAAAACTTCGATTTTAGTAAGCTAGCAAACATTTCAAAGTATAAAAAAAGGTCACCGTGTACCATATTTGCATGTTAATAAGTGGAAAAGAAAGCATTTTTGTCAAACTAGTCAGAATTTCCCTGTTCCAGACTTGGATGTGTAGTTACATGAATCAGCATTCATTTGCCTCTAGGTTCCTGTGTAACGTGCATTGTTATTAAGAAAACATTCAGTATGTTATCTTATATGTACTATCACCCAGAGAATGCTCCCCCCAAAAAGAGGGACTTCTGTTCAGGGTATATAAGCGTCTTATAAAATAAAGGGAAGCCTTCACTTAGAAGCTTGATTCCCCTCTGTGCTATCCCTATCTTATCTCAAGGACTGTAAAGACTGCCCCTACCATCACCAGTTTTAGGCTATCGGAGCTTCACTGAACCGACCCTCGCCAACACAGTCGAGACCAGAGCCAGCCACTCGTGGCACCCCTGAAGGCACATTTCGCTCCGAGAGGTCTCACGACTACAGACAGAGCTATGCGGCAGCTGGGCAAGCAAATTAGGGCCTCTCAGCATGAATAAAATTTCATGAGATAGGCAAGAGGTGCATTAAAAAAAAAAAAAAAAAAAAAAAAAAAGAGCAACGAAAACATTACTGGGGTGCGATTCTAAACTCACTAATGCTTATTCAGGGCAACTGCTGCAATGAGTGCAAATCTCCGTGGTGTAAATTAAAGCGCAGATAGGCTGTGTAGATTATTTAACCATTTTGGTCCTAATGAAAGACCCGGTAATTACAGCCTTTAACGCTTCAGCGATGCGGCTGCAAATCCACTCTCACGCTACAGCTTTAGGAAGCGTCAGGCAGGCAGCAACTCCCTTTCCCTGAAACAACTGGCTGCCGAGGCGAAACTTTCCTCCTTAGCTGGAGATGACACATCCCCAAGGCTGGGAGAGCATCACAGTGGGGGAAGTGCCGGGACAGGCTGATGGAGGCGGGGCCGGGGAACGGGAGGAGGATGGCGGCTCTGCCTGGTGGGGGGTCCTGATCTCCCCTCGACCCCCCTAAACCCGCCGGGAGCGCGGCTAATAAAGGCATCTCGGGCTGCCCTACGGTCCGCTGTCGGGACTGGCGACAGACCCCGGCCTCCGCGGCCGGCTGCCGCTGCGCCTGCGGCGGGGCAGCGCCGGCTGCATGGACGGGCTGGGTGGCTGCCGGATCTGATAAGGGGAGGCAATGATAAAAATTATAGTAATAGCAATAAAGATGTCTGGCTGTCCTTCCTTCGTGCTGTGTGTTGGTCTGTGCACCTGACTGCCGGGAGGGAGGGGGGCGGGGGCAGCAGACTGAACGGGTCACTGAGCCTTGGCGGGTGTGTGCCTGTGCCAGGGTGGGAGGCGGGGGGACGGGCATCCCTGACCCGCTCTGTGTGCGTGTGTCTGCGTGCTGGGGCCCGCGGGTGCAGCGCTCTTACCTGCTTGCTGTACTTGCTGCTGGCCTGGCAGCTGTACTCGGAGCAATGGTCCGAGCCGATGGAGATGTTGTCACCAGCACCCACGAAGGTGTTTGCTGGGGGCAGGTCCTGCACAGCCTGGTGCTTTTTGCCGGCGGTGGGGGACTGTGGGTGCAGCTGGACCGTGGGCAGCGGTGAGCTCGACTTGTAGTGCCTGGCCAGGTCAGGGCTGCCCGGGCCACCATTGACCGAGCGATATCGGCCCATACCAGGGCTGTCCGAGAGCTTCTCGTTGACACTGTCGTAGCGCTGCCCATTGGGCTTGGAAGCCTCGACAGTAACAATGCTGCTATAGAGGGGCTGCTTGCCCTTCTTGCCTTTCTTGTCCTTCTTGGGCTTCTTGGCCTTGTCGTGCTGCTGGGGGGTGAAGAAATCCTCATGGTCCTTCTTACCGGCCTCGTAGCCATGCTTGCCCTTGGATCGGCAGTAGCGAGCCATGACCACCACGAGGATAAGAAGGATGACGGTCATGATGCCAGCCACCACACCAATGACTATGCTAAGCCGCTGCTTGCTCAGCTCATAGCTGGGATCACCAGCAATGTCCTGGGCCAGTGGGGTGTGAAGGCTGCGGGCCACCTGGCTCTCCACCACAGTGGCATTGGACAGGCTCTCATTGACAAAGACATGGAGCAGGGCAGTGGTGGACTGGGGTGGCTGCCCACTGTCATTCACCTGCACAACCAGGCGGTGCAGACCATAGTGCTTGGGGGCCAACTTGCCCACCAGTGACACCACACCACTGGCTGGGTCTATTTCAAAGAGTTTGAAGGGGTTGCCCCCAACAATGCTGTAGTTGAGGTCAGCATTGAGACCAGTGTCAGCATCAGTGGCGACCACTGTGGCTACCACGGTGCGCATGTTGCTGGAGGGTGGCAGCACAGTGTAGGAGCTGTTGCTGGGGAAGGTGACAGTGGGTGCATTGTCATTCTCGTCCATCACAAAGAGGGACACGGTGGCTGTGGCAGACCGTGGTGGCTCACCCCCATCCACTGCCTTCACCTTAAAGGTGTAACTGGTCTGCTGCTCACGGTCAAAAGAGACAGTGGAGAAAATGGTTCCAGTGTCATTCTCGATGGAGAAGATGCCAGCTGCCTGTTCGTGGTCTCCAGGCTGAATGGACAGGCTGAGCTCGGCGTTGCGGCCCTTGTCAAAGTCCATCACAGTCACCATGCCCACGGGGCTGTTGGGCTGCAGGTTTTCTTTCACGTAGAAGGTGAACACATCCTGCATGAAGCGTGGCTCATTGTCATTGCGGTCTGACACTCGCACCACCACTGTGGTGGAGCCCTGCAGTGATGGCACCCCCTTGTCCCGGGCTGTCACCTGAAATTCATAAGTGTCACGTTGCTCACGGTCCAGCACTGCCTGCACCGACACATCCCCAGAGTCAGGGTCAATGCTGAAGATGCTGCCCGGTGCCTCTGGGGAGAGGGGTGAGGCCTCCAAGGAATAGGTGATCTCAGCATTCTTGCCACTGTCTGCATCTGTGGCAACCACTGTGGCCACCCTCTCACCAGGCAAGTTGTTCTCTGGAAAGGAGACCTCCAGCACAGCCTGGCTGAACATGGGCGGGTTGTCATTAGTGTCCCCAACCCGCACCAGCAAGGAGTTGTTGCTGGACAAGCTAGGGCTGCCTGAGTCCACAGCCACAATCACCACATTGTAGTCACGGACAGCTTCATAATCCAGAGGGGCCGAGGTGTGGAGGAAATACTTGCGCTTATTCTGTGGCTCCCCCTCACCCTCACTGGCAGGTTTGAGCTGGAAGGGCACATCACCCACCACAGTACAGGTCACCACACCATTTTCACCTTGGTCCCGGTCAGATACCTGCACCAAGGCAATGGGGGTGTCCACCAGGACATCCTCGGCCACGCTTGCCACCCCGTCCCGGAGCGGGATGCGCCCGATTTTCCGGATGTCGATGGTGGGCACGTTGTCATTTTCATCCCGGATGTTCAGCACGACGGTGGCCTTGTCTGTCTTGGGGGGCTGGCCCCGGTCTCGGGCCATGACTGTGAAGCGAAGCTGGTTGACCTCCTCCCGGTCGATGCGGTGCAAGACGCTGAGCCAGCCCGAGGTCTCGTCCAGCCGCAGTAGGCGCCTGACGGACTCAGTGGCCGCCCCGAAGACGTACTCGATCTGCCCATTCACTCCCACGTCCAGGTCGGTGGCTCGCAGCTGCAGGATCGGGGTCCCAGGGCTGCTGTTCTCCGCCAGGTCCGCCTCATAGACGCTCTTCTCGAAGCGGGGGCTGTTGTCGTTCACGTCGGTGATCAGCACCCTCAGGATGGCCTGCGAGGACCGTGCCGGGTCGCCGCCGTCCCGCACGCGGAGGCTGAGCTCGTAGGAGTCCCGCTGCTCCCGGTCCAGCGCCCCCTTGACGATCAGCTGCGGCTGCTTCTCCCCGTCCAGGGTGTCGGCCACCTGCAGCTCGAAGACGCTGCTGCGGGCGGCCGCCTCCGCCTCCTGCCGCCGCTTGCTGCCGCCGGGGAAGGGGGCGCTCTCGGGGGCCGCCGCGGCCGCGCCCCCCCCGCCGCCGCGCCGGCCGCCGTCCCCGCCGGGCTCCTGCAGCAGCTCGTAGCGCTCGATGCCGTTGCGGCCGAAGTCCCTGTCGGTGGCGGTGGGGAGCAGGTAGAGCGTCCCCACGGGCCGGTTCTCCTCCACGGTGAGCGTGAGGACGGGGGAAGGGAAGGTGGGGGTGTTGTCGTTGATGTCCAGGATGATGACCCGGCCCTCGAAGAGGTCCACCCAGCTCTGCGAGGGGCCGATGACCGACACCTCAAAGTCCAAGAAGCACTCGTTCTCGTCGAAGATCATCTGGCACTGCGGCAGCTTTTCGCGGTCGATGCGCCGCTCTGTGGTGCTCAGCTCCCCGGTCATGTTATCGATCTTGAGATAGTCGGAGCCCGACTCCAGGCTGAATGTCACCTCTCCGGAGCCCGTCACGATCCCCAGGTCGGAAGCCACATTGCCGATGCGGATGTCGGCGGGTCCCTCCTCGGCCAGCCGGTACTTCAGGAGCTGCTTAGCCGCTGCGAGGCTGACCCAGAGCGGCGGAGGCAGGAGGAACAAGAAGCAGCAGCAGCAGCAATGCACAGAGCGAAGGAGGGTCCGCATCTTCCTCATCTTCCTCGTACCGAAACCCCCCTCCCTTCTCTCACTCCCACCTGCCCCCCAATAAACTCCCCTGATAAGCCAACAGTGCGGCTGACAGTCCAGGTGATCAATTATAAAATCCTTCTATTTCTGGAAACTTATTGTCTCATGACTGGTGCAATTGGTGGTTAAAACCCTGCTGCTGGCTCCTCTGCTGCTATCCCTGCCTTCCAGTTGCGATATACTTACAGTTCACGGGACAGTGGATTTTGCTTTTTAAAGATTCATCTCAGTAGATAGGATGGGATTTTCCTCCTCCTCCCCCTTCTCCTCCTCCTCCTCTCTGATTTTACTGTAATCACTTTGCAAGGTTTGCAATAAAAGCAGAAGCAGTACCGTACGATTCGAAGCCCCCCAGGTCGTTGTCTTCAGCACTAGAGTTAACTATAATTCACACACTCTCTCTCTTTTCTCTCTCTCTCTCTCTCTCTCTCTCCCCCTCTCAGCCGTTTACGACCAAGGCATTAGCTTTATTCTTCCCCCTCTCTGCACACACAGGGGAAAATATTGTGATTCGCTTTATTCAAAGGGCTTGGGTCCGGGAAAACTCCAAATCCTCTTAGCAATGGGCAGCTCTTAAAAAAAAAGAAAGTAAAAAAAAAAAAAAAATCCCAATAATGTCGGTAGCTGCACAGCTGATAGGAGAGAACCCCGAGTATTACAGTGCAGTCCACAGAATATCCCCTTTGGCTGGCAAAAAAGCACCCAAATCCATCTTCAGAGATCGCCTAAAATGTTCAGCTCTTTCTCCGGAGCGGATTTTTTTTAACAACTCTGCGCAAGGTCATTAGTCACAAAGCAACGATACAGAAACTGCAGAAGCCGTTTGCCCGGAATTTGCAAGGCTGGAGATAAGAACATAGACACACAACAGTCCCAAGTTTGTTTTTGCATCCGCAGTTTGTGTGTGTGCCTTACCTGCATTTGCACTGCATGTGTTAAAGCAATCTGGATCTGCAGCACTGAGAGCGATTCACAAATGAGATTGCAGTCTCTCTCTCTCTCTCTCTCTCTCTCTCCTCTTCCTTCCCGTCCCAATGCAGGTAACCAGATCTGAACTTGATCCTTTCAGTTCAAAGGTTAGCAACAAAACTATGTGTCCAAAGGCGATTATTGGTCTCTCGTAATTATACCCGGAGCGGAACAAGATGTAACTGGATCCCCCATGTGAATTAACACAGATTCTGAATTACATCCATATAAAGCGGAATGGCAAAGGGGAGGGGAAAAAAAGCCGCGACGCGATTAAAAAAATACAGAGTTCTATTTGCAAATAAAATTGTATCAGTCAGTTGTTTCCTTTGATCTGCACTGCCAAGTGGGTGAAATCTGCAATTGTGTATTCCCTCCTGTGTCTTTCAGAGAAGTGTGGATCAGGCGCTTTCACGGCAGAGCGGCTTGTGCTTTAAAATGTTGAATGGCAATTGAGAAGCTTCTGACTAGTAAGAAAAAAAAAAAGAAAAAAAAAAGAAAAAAAAAAAAAAAAGAAGAAGCGGTAAACCGGCAAGTTTGCCCAAAGTGGAGGGAGCTGCTGAAGCCTCTCTCGGTAGCTCTTCCCTGGCGCTGCAGCAGCAGAGCCGCCTGCGCTACACACACACAGAAAGAGAGGGAGAGAGAGAAAGAGGGAGAGCAGAGAGAGAGAGCGAGAGAGAGCGAGAGAGAGAGAGGGAGGGCGGGAGGGAGGGAGGGAGAAGGAGGAGGGAGGACGAGTCAAGCGCTGCACTCCAGAAAGCTCAGTCTTACCCTCTGTCTCTGCTGCTAGTACTGCAAGTGGGATAGCTGCTCATCACAAAACACCAGTCCAGTCCTCAAAACCGATCCTCATTTCACGCCCGAGTGTTGCTTCTGTTGCTTTCTCAAACCCGTGATCTGTAGGCTCCCTCCCCACATCCGCTATAGACTGTGAATCGAGCAACGATTTTTAAACCAAATGTTTGTTCGTCTTTCTTTTCTTCTATTGTGCATTTTGCGGAATCAAGCTGGTAAGGAAACTCGTTTTGCAGATTCCCACCTTCCCCTGTTGTGTCGGTGCTTTTGTGAAATAGCTGCAGTCACTGTAACTGCATAAAACTCCAGGGAGGAAGGGGGACTGCCTTACATCTCAGACTTTCGTCCTGTTTCCCAATGCTGTTTCAGCCTCTCAGTCTTTGTGATTGTGTTCTTCCTATTACCATGTTTTGAATGTGTGTTTTCAGCATGTTTGTGGGTATCCTAGGAGAGAAAAAAAAAAAAAAAAAAAAAAAAAAAAAAAAAAAAAAGAAAAACAACCAAAACCAGCCTCGGAGATTATCAGGAAGGGAGCGAGAGGGTTAGTAGAATAAACACATGTAAGAAGTAACAGATTTATTTCCGAACAGAGACTTGCTGCTCCGATGATTGCTCAAATGTAGCGTCACCTACCTGGGTAAGTGGGAAATAAACTTTAATGGTAAAGCTCTTCGGCTCAACTTTGCTTATTCTGACATCTCTAGTTCGCGTCTCCTTTTGACTTTGAGCCATTTAATCGCGTATGGCTTTTGTGTGCTCCCGCCCTACCCTTGGTGATGCCTGGCTCCTTACCTGTCCTCTCTGTTCGGAGCCTGGAGGGAAAAGAGGGAGACTCCGGTGACAGGCGAGTGGGGGACAGCCAGTGGGGAAAGAATGAGCGTGTGCGGGTGTGTATGCGCGCCTGTGTGCGGGTGTGTGCGAGTACATGTGTGTGCGCCTGTGTGCGGGTGTGTGTGTGCGGGTGTGTGTGTGCGGGTACATGTGTGTGCGCCTGTGTGCGTGCGCACAGCCAGGGGAAGGCAGGAATCCAGCTGCTCTTTCTCCCTCTGTGAACACATGTGGGAAAGCAAGTTCTGTATGTGCGCGTTCTGTATGTGTTTGTGTGTGCATTCCTTGATATATATGGCTCTTTTGAATAAAAACGCGTGCAGACCAATGTAGCGAAATGTCTCTCTCATCGCGATGATATATTTAAGCGAAAAGCGGTCGGATATGTTGAGGTGGTTCAAAGCAACGGTCACAGCGTGTCTTTGTCATTTGGGGCGGTGAGTGATTGTAGGAGGGAGGGAAGGTTGCCACCTCTTTCCTTGAGGAGTCCAGAGACACAGAGGGGCAGAGCCGCGCCGCATGGAGTCGGCGCTAGGGAGGGAGGAAATGCTCCCTTCTCCGGAGGGCTGCAGGGCTGCTCCTCCGGCGCCTCCTCCGGCCCTGGCACCGGCCCACGCCGCTCTGCCTCGCCAGAACACGAAAACCCTCCCCCGCCGGTGCTGGAGACACTCGGCTTTCTATCTGCAACATCAGCGAGAAAGCCCAGCTCGGCGCAGGCTCAGTGCTCACCGCCGCAGTCCCGGACGGAGGAGGGGGGTTCGGGAGCGCAGCATCTTCGCAGCGGGTTAAGTAGGATTAGTACCAAATCCCTATTATATTTGCCAAGCAACTCGAATTTGTCAAAATTCCCCCTCGTTGTTCTGGAGCTCCGTGAGGAGGAAATTTTGCTCACAGTGTAAGATCCAGACATGCCAGCACGCAGGAATACCAGCATACTGCATTACACTGGCTCCCTGCACTGGAAATACAACTGCGAACCGCAGGTCCTGCTGTTCCCGTCCCTTTGTGTTTTTAAACGCAGCCAGGAAACTTAATGTATTCGCCAGGGAAGGGGCGGGATGAGAGCGTTTTTAACCTCCCCGCCATAAACTTTAATCGGATTTCAGGCTGTTGCACGGCATGGACGCTCGCCTTCTCGCCTGCGTCTCCTTCCCCGTTGTTTCTACTACGGACTCCTTGCGAGTGCCTCTTTCAAGCGAATGAGTGATTTCTTTCTCTTGCCATGTGCAATTGCTCCCCCTTCCTTTCCTACCCTCGCTGGCCTCTCTTACACACACTATGCCTTTCACACGCGGTCTGCGCCCCCCAGTCTCCCCCTCCTTTCTTTCTTTTTTGCAGTGTCTTCACATGCAGTGTCTCTCTGAATGTGCAATGTCTTTCCTGCTCGGGAGTGCTGCGTCCTTCACAGTGGATTGGTTCCTCTTTCGGAGCAGAGGTAACGGCCCCCCCTTTCCTATCATTCTCCCTTCCTCCCTCCCCTCCTCCCCTCCTCCCCTAGGGCAGGCGGCCGGCGTGGGAAATGGGCCCGACGTGCGCTGCATGGTGGATGGCCGCGCTGTTCCCGATCCACGTGCCCGGCTGCCGGGGGGGAGGACGGGGCCGTGCTGGCCGTGTGTCCCCCGCGCCCCCCCGCATCCCACTCGTACGAGACGCACTCTCTCCGCCTCCCCGGCACCGCAGACCGCCGGTCCCGCGCACCCACAGCTCCCCGGGTGTCGGTAGGATCCAGCCCGGCTGTTCCGGGCGGGGGAGGTTTGTCCCTGCCGGGCAAATCTGTTGCGCAGTGTAGCTCCCCCCTCCCGGCTCTCCCCCCTTCCGATGCACACAGACGCCCACACGCGCTCAGACACGACACGGCATTTGTCCTCCTGATCTGGTGAGATCAAGTGGGAAGAGGGATCACAAATGTAATCGTCTGTAATAAATAAAATAGCCCGAGATGCTGGTGATATACAGAGGGGAAATAGGAGCTTGTGTCCTTAAAGGGAACATCTGATAAGGCCACCGAAGTGGCATCTTGCGTGTGGGAAGGAATCCGTCTTGCTGACAATCGCAGCCTGCTGTACGTGGGGAAATCCTAAAGCAGCCTGGGAGTTTCCCCGGCTCTGTGCATCCCCCAAGCTCCCGATGCTCTGCACTGGGGCTTTGTTGTCGTTGTAGTTGTTGATTGGAAAGACAGGGGTCATCGTTTAAATATGCAGATATAATTAATGGCTGGTTTTTCTTCATGTGTTGGCCGAGCCCAGCTTCTGCCGCCGGCAGCCGGACTCGCGTCCGCAGTCGGCGCTTTCAGCCCACGACAATTTGGTTTTCACAGTTTAGGAATGTCAGTGGATCTCACTGGAAAATTACTTCTGGGATCTGCA